TCATATCCAGGATTTTCGTACAAAAGTAGAACATTCAGGTTGTTACTAACGAGAAAGCTAATGAACCAATGATTCGTAATGGTCAAATGAAAGTCATCTCTTCAAAAGTTTTAGGGACGCAATCGTAATTTCGTATATCGTTAAAAAATACCTGTATCACAGATAACAACATATGTTTTACTTTTCGTTGCCATAAAATCTTCCTCGATTGCGACATTATCAAGGGTGTCTTGTTCCCCGATTTTGTTTTCCTAAAATGAAACATGCACACGACGGATGTAATTAGTGGATAAGGAGCTGCTTTTCCTTCTTGAGACCCCGAATTAACCCAAGGTTTTTGTTACCATGATTCGTTTTGCTCGTGTTTTAGTTTTAAGTAGAGTATCGATTGACCTTTGTATATTTTTTTCTTTCTTTTAATTACGTGTCTGTCTGTTTTCTTAGACTTATTGGGGTTTGAATGCCCTCTTTGGTATATCAGTTCCCCTTTTTAATGGCGATATCAACTTTTTCATTGGTGTTAAAGATTATATTGAAGATATTGGAAATGAGAATAACAACTTATAAATAAGTTGCGTCCGAAGCGCTTTTACGGATTTACCTTTACCAGAAACACTAAAACCCAAAAATTTGGAAGTCAAGGACGTAATTTTGGGTAATACGATATCTGTTGTAGTAGTTACAGTTCATGTTTAGTAATCTAACTTAAAAAACTAATCAAAGTTAATTCAAAAATGCACGTTAAAGCCATTATTTATGCTCATTTTTGAGATAAAAGCACTGTTCATATGCTTCATCTTTTTAAAGTTAGTGTAGGGTTTTATTCATGAATTAATATTCTAAAACCCTTTCCTTCCACTATACCGTCAAATGTTTGGTATTCTGATAGAGACTAACTGTGCCTTTATATACGGGATTTGTTCCATTTCTACTTTTAAGTGGTATGCATCTTCAAATATTAAGAACGACATACATGTATTCCCTTTTATAATCTATACTTTTTCTAAAATAATTCAATATGCGTTTAATTTATCCATCTGAAGATGCTCTAACAGAGCGGCACATCATTTTAGAATAAAAAAAAACATTACCACATAAAAAGTCAATTACCCCAGATTCCGACCCTAAGAAAGACCTTGATTCTTGAGACTGATGATTGATTGTTGGTTGCTTAATGTCCAATGGCAAATATTTCATGCATGTTCTGGACGAGAACAAATAGATAAAGACTGCAATAGGTAGGTCCTACAATAGAGGACGTCCAGGATTAAAAACAGAAAAATTTGGATTGCCACTAGAAGATGAGGGATCATTGGACAGGGACAGACATTTTGCCTTTCAACAGGCCACCTACAGACCCCTCAAAAGTTGATAAAAGATTTTAACGTGCAGAGAGAGTGGCACTCTCTCTCTCTACACTTTACTTCGGATTTAACGTCCCCAATATGACGAGACGTTCTTGGCTATTGAGATGAAAGTGGGAAATCTTGAGCGAGCTCATAATTGTAAAAATTAAAATCATGTATAAACCTTTATATAATTCTAGATCTGCAGCATTTTTTTGTTCTACCTCAGCGGGATTTTAAACCATACATAAGTGAAATCATTGCAAAACCGCATTGCATTATGTCCAGCGCCCTAGACCACACGACCGACTATGCTATATGCTATATGTCCCTTTGGTATCTTTCGCCCCTCTTCTATAGAATGAAAATAACACTTTATAAAGTTAGTACGTCCGAAGCACTTTACTGGATTTACCAATAAAAATATTGCGTTTGATAGTCGATTGATGCCATTTCATTTCGGTTTTTCTAGGTTTATAGGAAGAAGTTCCATAAATTGTCTTTCAGATACAAATTTATTCAGTTTGCATTTGTTAGCGATGTACTTCGATGCTAATTTTTACCAAAACTTTAAAAAAAAAAAAAAAAAAAAAAAAAAAAAAGCAATATTGTCTCTACCAACAATATGCAGCACTGAAAATAGTTTAGTTTTAGAATAATCTTTTGTCTATAATAATTATTTATGACACCGCATTTAGCTTTATTAAATTTTGTACACAAACTTTTTCAAGACATTTTACAAAATCATGTCCACTTGCACTTTTCATGTAATTGTTTTTTTCCCTTAAATTTTGTACAGTTTCCGAAATCCGATTGTAGATTGTCGTGATTTAGAGCTTGCTTTCAGTTTCTGCTAACTTTCTACATTTAGGGGTAAACAAACAGACCGTTAAACACCAATGAACGTACAAAAACATTCACCTAAATGTTATCATTTTGATCAATTTGCTGTGTTTCAAACATGTACGCGTAATGCAAGCTATTTCTGTTTTTTTTTAACTTAAATAAAATGACACAGATTAATAAATAACATTTTTGAATTATAAGATATCAATAAAAACAAGGATAGTTAATGAGTTTAGGACAGAGGAAATCTTTCATGATATCGAGTATAGTTAAGCCCCAGTAGCAGAAAGAAGGCTATTGCAAGGCGACATATGGTAACGAATATTAACATATTAAAACGTTAGCATTTAGTCTTGTTTGTTGCAAACAAGATTTGAGACTATCGAAGATATTAAACCGTTCTTTCACTGAACTAAAAGATATCTATAAAAAAGTGACATTTATCTTTAGTTTATAAATTTCAAAAGCATATCCTAATATGGTCTCCCTCCTAGTCATGTATTTAGATCAATGAATTAAGACTTACGCGATTGAAACTAAATTCTTAACATTTCTTCATATTAAGGAAACTTGAGGAATAAAACAAAAAGTTAAATCACAAAAATACTGAACTCCGAGGAAAACCCAAGTGGAAAGTCCCTAATCAAATGGCAAAATCAAAAGCACAAACACATCAAACGAATGGACAACAACTGCTATATTCCTGACTTGGTACAGGCATTTTCTTATGTAGAATTCATCATAAAAAATAATTGAAAATAACTTCTGCTTCATTTGGTTTCTGGTGGAGAGAATCATACCACATTTTATTTTCATATTATATATATACATTGTAAATATGTAATGGCTATCATTTTTTTTCATTTATTCATTCATTCATTCATTCGTTCGTTCGTTCGTTCGTTCGTTAATTCTTCATTCATTTTTTGTTTCTTACAAAGCACGTGCGCATAGAATAGGTTAAAAACATTAGTTTCATTTTATCTGTTTTCTGTCGAATAGAATATGATTGATGTCAACTCATTCTGATATTTTTTTCAATTACAATGTTTAACAGCTCGTCCGAATGTCTAACGCAATTGATATGTAAACAAATAAGCAAACCAAATTGTGATAAATTAATGTGTAATTGTTCTCCTGAGATTCTTGTCCAATAATTTTTAAATGGTCACAACTTTTAAAAGACTTCATGAGACGTATTTAACTCTCCAACATCAGAATGCTGGCGCATTCCTGGATGTTGCTTGGTGTCGCATCAGAAAAGGCTATTGGCAGGTGAAACAATCTTTACGAAAATAATTAATGTCAGCATTAGTACCGTCTCTGAAGCTAAAATCTAACAATACGAACGCTACCCAAACCATATATGAAGCCGAACGAATCATGCCATATCAACATACATGAAACGATGAAGACAAAACGCGCTGCCCAAATGGAAGAGAGACGGTAAACATAATTTGTTTATAGGTACACAGTGTTTTAAAACTGAAGGATATATATATGTATGAATAAAAGGAATTACCAAAATTACTGTAATAGTGGACAGTACAACAGATCACATCAATCATCGACATTCGACTCCTCCGGAAGAAATGCCTTACCCCCTCACCCACCAAAAAAAAAAAAAAACAAAAACAAAACAAAATTAAGACTTTGTAAAACCTTCATTATTTATTAAGACCAAATTTACTCATTGACAAGTCCTTTAGTTTCATTAAAACATACTAGAAAACTAAAAATACTTTAAGATGACCTCCGAAGACTGACAATTGTCATGCCACACGATATAAACATAAATGGAAATGGAGCACATGCAATAGTATAAAGACGATTTTTATAGATCTGCGGCTCTTTTCACAAAAAAATCTTAAGAGTAAAAGTACTCGTAAGTCATACACATTTCAGTATAACTTACGATCAATTTTAATCGTAAGATTTTTTGTGAAAAGAGTTGCTGTTTGATTTCACGTCACACTAGATGAAAGATATTCAAATGATAGTTTAAGCTGCATAAGAAAGATTTTTTTTTTTGGTGGTGGGGAAGGGCGAATCGATCAATTAATGGTGCTTCCTGATTGATTCCTCGTCTCACTCTTCAATTCTTTTCTAATCATTCTGAGCAACCCATCTTCAACTCATTGTCAAATTATGCATGCAAAATTAAGCATGGAAACAAGCTAGCTGGTAATAGCGAATCAATATTTCAATATTCCGCTTTTATTAAGGTTTAAAACACAAAAAATCAAAAATAAATGTGCTGTCTAAATCGTAACTAATGTTCCTTTAAAGTAGTCAAACCGTTGGAAGAAAAAACGTTTTAACAGAATTTGTTGGCATACATGTACATGTCATAACTAAACTTATCTTGATATTAGTTTTGTATATTTTCAGTTACAGTGATTCAGCAATAAAATGATTTTTGAGAGTGATTTAGCAATAACATGATTTTTGAGAGTGATTCAGCAATAAAGTGATTTTTTACATTTCACACTGAACTAAATTTGAAACTAGGAAGTTGGAATAAATTTTCTCCTGCATCGAATGTAATTGAAATCTATTTATGCATTTCAAGAATTTCTTAAAGATTAGATTTAATTTTCATCCTTTTTAAACATTTTCAATGACAAGTATATTTAAATTTCAAGCAATTTGCATCTATATAATACAATACTCTTTACCCAAAACATAGGTTTTTAATAATTTTAAACCGAAACGCATTATTTCATTTTTCTTAAAAAATTTAATATGACGATTTGAATATAAATACGCGAACTGAATAATTTATTCAATTTCAAAATCATAAATAGATGTGTGCATAGGTTTAGGTGCATTCATAGGATTTATAAACACTTTACTTTAATACTAGTATCTAGTATAACTAAATTGTACTGAAAGTGAAAGCGTAGTGATAATTTTTTCCTTTAATATGGAAAAGAAAGGAAAACATATGAAGATTCCAAAGAAAGGAAAGAACGGAACTGAAAAATCATTTGAAGGTATGACTACAGTTTTCTCTGTTTGATAAATTTTTCTGTAGTTAATTCAAGATACAATAAAACAAAGTTCAACTAATTACAGGAGTAGGGTTGTTAAGTCCGGGTTTTGGCCCATAAGAATGAAAATTTTGACAACTAGTTCAAATTTGCATATACTATAGTAGTCCAGCTGATTCGTGCATATTTTTAGAAGAATTGTTGGTTTGATGATAAAAGCATGGAACTTTGCATAATTGTAGATATATATTTGGTTGTCAATTTAAGCTATGGACCCACTCTGAAAAATCTAATATGGCGGCAATTTTCAAGATGTCTGCCAATTAGTTCAAATTTCACAACCATGTATAAATTAAAGCAAATAATATTAAACTCAAATCTTTTTAAAGCATATAAAATGTAATCCAACGTTTCTAGTAATTCCTTACGTTATGTTAGACTTTTCATTTTTTTCAAAATGGCTGAAAATTTCAAAATTGCCGTCAAAAAGTGAAAATGAACAAAACTGAGACATGGTTTTTCTGATATTTATTTCTTCTATCGAATTAATATTGCACTTTGGCGTTCATACGATATTCTAGGGAATGCATTTCCATGATACATGGATGCTGCTTGCAAGACAATCGAATGAAAAGTCCCAAAAATGGAAAAATTCGAACGTTTGAGGACGCCATCAGGATTTGTTTGACCTGTAAATACCATCTGAGTCACAAATGATTATGAACATGTTCCACTTCTCCTCCCCACAATCCTTTTTACCTCGAATGTGGTAATATCAAGATGATAATTACATACGACTAATCATCAAATTTTTATTTTCAAAGAGTAACACCACTAGAGTGCTACCAATTGGTTAAAACTCCTCATACTTCCGGAACACCTGCTTTGACCCCTAGTTTTGATGAAAGGGGACTCGTGTTGTTTTTGCTTTCAATGTTGTGTTATCTGCTCTTTATTTGAATGTCTGTGTTGCCAATCAGTGAAAGTCTTGATTATCCGTCATACAGGTATGCAACATGATTTCCTTTCAAACTCTCACGTTCGGTCAAGTTTAAGATAATTTACAAATACATGTATTTCTGGTTAGACAATTGACAGAGTGCATGTCCATAAAACGGTAATCATAAGAGGTGAGTATGAAACGCATGGTTATATTAGGTAAGTATTAAAGATTTATGCATATCTTATTCTACAGGAAGGATTGTTATATATAAATATACTGAGTTTAATAATACGAACATTTCTGCTGGTGCATAACATTTTGGTTAAAGTACCAGAGAATATACGGCAAATGCATATATTTCAAAGCATAAGGTTAGGACGAATTTGCTAAGTTAGACTAAGAAAATGCTGAAATATTGTTATTATCGTACTTTGTAACGATTCTTTAGCCGTAGTTCAACCCTTGATGGAATATTCTAGTAACGTAGATACATGGATAATTGGATCAAACATAAACGACAAACTGTACATTTTGTCATTTAGTTCATCCTTTCCTGGTCCTATCATCCACAAAAGGCATATGAAGGCCTATATACATTAGGAGATGATTTGAGTTAAGTTGAATATGATATTTAAGAAGAATAGATATTTAAAACAGAAGTAACTTCGAAATTGTTAGCGTCGTATTTTCCTCAATGCAATAACTCGACTGCCACTGAATATTTGGCCAACCGATTATCAACTTATGCTTTTAATGACTGTGGAAAAGACTTTTGTCTACATCATGTCTTTTTGAACTACCTGCATGTGCAGCTTTTACAAGTATCGTTGTCATAAATGCAGATTATTGCGGTAGCCTGTTTAATTGCAACACCAAAAAAGTCATTTAACTGAAGAAGCAAGTATCTGCCTTGTTAATGGCCTTACCAGCCTGAGATTACTTCAGGAATGCAAATGTTTAGATTATTATTATGTCCTCTTCCAGTTGGTGATAAAGAAATTGAACGAGTCGAGAAGCATACATTATAGTTAAAATATTGGAATGCCATTGTCTATAAGTGATCCCTCATTGTAGACTACTGTTCTGCAAGAACGGTACCTTAGTTACGATTTTCTATACTTTCCTCGCAAATCTTTTGATGTTTGGATTTACTGAAGGTATGTCAAAACGAAATACTTAGTAACCTTCTATAAGTGATATTTGTTGATTTTGATATTTTATGGCGGCCATCTTGGAAAAGCCGCCATATTCCAATTTCAAGTTGGTTTCATAGATAACATTGTTCGTAGCACCCAGCACTACTACCATGCCAAATTAGACCTTTTATAAATAATAATGGTTGATTTTGATATTTTATGGCGGCCATCTTGGAAAAAGCCGTCATTTTGAAATTTCAAGGTTGGTCGAAACACCCAGTTTTACTTCCATGCCTTTGACCTTCTATAATTGATATTTGTTGATTCTGATATTTTATGGCGGCCATCTTTGAAAAAGCCGTTATATTAAAATTTCAAGGTGGGTCTATAGCTAATGCTGTTCGTAACACCCAGGACTACTACCATGCCAAATTTGGTGCTTTTATCATCAAACCCACAATTTTGTCACCGATCTGCAGGACTATAGGAAAATGCATACCATCAAAAGATTGAAATGAATTTGATAATATTCATAATGTTACTACGTCATCATTATATAATATTATGTACCTTTTTCACTAAAATGAAGAAAATTGGTGCGCCAATTAGCATTTTGTATGCGCAAAAAAAATTATTAATAGTATAAATAATAGTAGTATTTTGATAATCAGTTATATTAATATTCTCTATTCTTTATAATTAGATACCCGATTATTTTATTTATTTTATTTTATTTTGCCCTTTATTCTGTATATTTTCTCCATAATCTGTATTCTGTAAACCCCATCAAGACCATCATAAAGAATAATGGATATGGAGTAGAGTCTATTCATCACATCGTCATTTAGAACACATGCTTCTCAAAAGTTTGTTTCCATTCCTATTATTTTTTTACATAAGTTGCTTAATGGTTTCAAATATTTGTTGTAGATACTGTCAGTGAATCAGACTTTGTGGAAGACGAACATTCAACAAATACATTAGATGAACACAGAAAGGCTCTGTTGGGGTATGTTCGATTGTTAATGTTTTGGCATCTGCGGGCATTAATTTGCGATGTTAGTAAATTCAGTTTACTAACGACGCAGAACAAAACTATTTGAAGAATATTTGCAATCATCAAATAAAAAATTCATATTTGTAGATCTTCAAATACAACACTGTTGCAACTGAAAGAAAACGCTCGGTTAAATATCGTTAACATGACGTACTTACTACTTGTTTGCAAAGCGTTATTAAATATGTGGAAAATGAACCTACACACAGTTTTGCTTTTGAATTGTTGTTTCTGGTTAATAAAATTAAGTACAATACAATACAATACAATACAAAACAATACGATACGATACGATACGATACGATGCGATGCGATACGATGCGATGCGATGCGATGCGATGCGATGCGATGCGATGCGATGCGATACGATACGATACGATACGATACGATACAATACAATACAATACAATACAATACAATACAATACAATACAATACAATACAATACAATACAATACAATACAATACAATACAATACAATACAATACAATACAATACAATACAATACAATACAATAAAATACAATACAATATTTTATTAACGTCTCATCTTTTACAAACAAATACATAACACATTGATTTAAACAAATTATAAATATGTAAAAGCTATTCATATAGAATAACGATAGAGATTATTTACACATTAGAAACAAATTACTCAAAACATTTAAAACAATAAAATGAAAAGAGAGAGAGAGATGTATATATGTATAAAAAACTACGACGTCTATCTAAAATGTCTCTGCAGGTTTTGGCACACAAACGGATAATGCTAACTGCACCTAGAATCACAGTTAGCTTATCTGGACTAGAAAAATGATTAAAACCATAAACATTCAAATTATTGAAACAACTGTCTCTAATATCATCATATAACGGGCAAAATAAAAGTTCATATATATAAATAAGGAGATGTGGTATGATTGCCAATGAGACAACTATCCACCAAAGTTCAAATGATGTGGATGTAAGCAATTATAGGCAACCGTACGGCCTTCAACAATGAGAAAAACCCAAACAGTAAAGTCGACATTTTCTTTAAGTGAACAAAATGTTCACACCCAACTCAATGAATATTTCTAGCCCGGAATCAGACATCTATTGTAAAATTACAGGCATAAAAAATTGAAATAAAATCTTACGCTTCAATTGTATAGTCATCAACAAAAAATGTACAAACACCGACTTTTTTAGGAAAGAAAAAGATCATAAAAATATTTAATTAATTCCTGATTAAGTATTTTGAAAATAACATTACTAAGAGTAATCATTAATAGAACTATAAATATAAAAAAAAAGGGAATCTTTCATTTAGAAGAACGGATCCCATAAAGATATATAGAATAATGTACTTATTATTTTAAAAAGGAAAAAGCATGAACAGCATTAAGTGAAACTTTAATATATGTAACTATAAATAATCACATTCACATTTTTTAGCAGATGTGCGATAAATATGAGCAATGTCGTCCGGATGTCCGGGTCTCTGAGCGTCTACGTTTAGATTTCTGGACACGAATTCATTTCATAAAACAGTTATGTCCCTTGGAAATATTAATAATATGGAAAATTGCATTGTAGGTGTTTTCGTGTGTACAATTCTTGCCAGATTTGTATAAAATTTATATCAAAGGTAAATATCAGCAATGTCTCGGACAACTTCTAAAATCAGTGCTGATTTTTTTAAAAAGCGTTCTGCTCTTGGAAATATTAATTGTATGGACAATTGCATATTAAGTGCACTCATGTGTACAATGCTTGCCAGATATATATTAAATTTATATCAAAGGATTATATCAGCATCGTCTCTGACAAATTCTAAAACCAGTGCCAATCAATTTTTGTTAAAAGAATTGTATCCCTTGGAAATATTTATTGTATAGAAAATTGCATTTGTAGAGCTCTCAAACCTTCATTTCTCTAAGATATTTATAAAAAAAAAATTAAAAAACCCCCAAAAAACCACCTTTTTAAAAAAATATTGTCCTGGGACTAAAAAAAATATGTGCAACGCGGGGGACAATGAAACTGTTTTTTTTTTTTTTTTTTTTTTTTTTTTATTATTATTATTATTATAGGGGCAAACATGAGCACAAGGTTAAGAGCTACTATACAACGTTATCATACCAAAATTCTACGACGATTATTTATTGCAGTTTCCATTCTTTGATGATAATACACTGATGTATTATTTACCTTTATCGTCCTGAACATGCATGAAATATTTGCCACTGGACACTAAGCAACCAACGGCAATCAATATTTACTTTGGGTTTTAAGGTTTTGTTTCTTGAAAACACTAATAGATAGCGAAAAAACTGCGAAATCGATAAACAAGTCAACTGAGATAAACAATTCATTTCATTGGTTGTTTGTGTTGTTATGGCTTCCTTATAGAACATGCTTTCCCCTAAATAAAATCTTACCGTAGCATGCGTTAAATTATATATTACTATGCTTGTCAGATGAAGAATTCAGGCGCATAAGAGCCTTAGATAACATGTAGCTTGCAGATTATATAAACGTAACTATATCACTTTAGGAATTTTGGTAAAGATATTTTGGAGGCCGCTGTTGATGTTTTGAGAGATGAATTTATGCATATTGCAATCGAAGGAGGCCGATATGGTGCAAAACTTGCCTTACTTGGCAAAGATCTAGTTGAAAGTCATAAACAAGAAATCGAGAAAAAAGAAAGTGAGCTTTTCAAACTAAAAAGAGAAAAAAGAGAGCTCGAAAACGAACTACAAAGGCAAAAAGTAAAGAACGATAAATTAGAAACGACAATCAAGCAAAAAGAAGAGGAAATAAAAAAGAAACAAGATGAAATAGATAAAATGAAAAGATTGATGAAAAAGAAAGAAAACGACTTAGCGACCGAACAAAGGGCACACAATCAAAGAGAAGATGCCCTTAAGTCTGAGCTACAAAAGTTGAAGAAAAAATACAATGATTTGAGCGGTAAACATCTGGCGAAAAAAGCTTCTGGTAACATTGCAAAGGAAGAGCTCTCAAAACTACGTCAGAAAATAACAGAACTTGAACAACAGCTGGAACAGGCTAATGCAAAGAAAAAAGTATTGAAATAGTCAGACAAATTTTATTCATTTTGAAAATTGCATTTGCAGATACGGCAGTAGTCCGCTTGTTTTCCTAAAAACTTCCTTTTCAAACAAATGTCACTGACATATTCGCAGTAATTTCTTATCATGTTTTTTTTATATAAAGAAACACAGTATTTATTTGTAGAAAGGTTTTAAACTTAATAATCGTCTTTTAATAGAAAAACAAAGGATATGGATTTCCTGCAACTTTTATTTACCACACATATATACCAGTATGCAATTTACATGTACCATGAAAGCATCATGTTTATAGAAGTAGTTAAGATATAGTGTCATGCATGACATTATTTCATTTTTGAAATAATTGTTTATATTAATGAATTATAGTCAATGATTTACCTCCATAAGATCATAACAGGATCATGTTAAAGGATGTGCTCTGCTGGAATTTAAGTTCCAAATATTTGTGTTGAAAAGAGATCTTCCGTCAACCTTCAAATTCAAGTGAAGAATAGCGATTCAATGAATTTTTAAAATTAAAATCAGTAATGAACGCTTCACCGTTCTGACATGGTTATTATGTTTTTTATTTCAAAAAAATTCAAACAAAAAACAAAATAAAGTCAATATTCGTGTACTCTGTGTGATACGTCCTACCTTTCATTTGTTCTTGAATTCCTGTTAAAGAGGACCTCAAAATTCTTTGAATATTTTTTGTATAAAAATAAGGAGATGTGTTCTTGTGTCAGTTCTCGATGTTTGCAATTAAACATTTTGTAAAACATACGTTTGTTCTACCTACAATGTAATTAGATATAGTGTAATTAATGTTTTATCAAAGAAAAAAGGGAAACATTCTAAACAGGTGTAATTTGGTGGGTTTCTTTTTTGCTCAATCAATAATCGAGCTACAAACAAAAAAAAGCATACTCGGTTGGATGGTGATGTCATACTGGATCTTAAAATTTTTTTTAAAAAAATTGGAAAATATTTAACTAATGTAAACACTATTTCGAATCAGTGATACATTCATGCGCGATACACATGAATGGAATCCTGGGTATCCCAGAAAGTTGAAATTGAAAAAAAAACTACAACAAATGTTTTGATGAAGAATTAAAGGATTAAACGAATATTTAGCTAGAGGTTGTTAGTGTGTAAACTGGGTTGCAGGCTCACAAACTTGATTTAAAAGTCCGGATGATGGGCGGATCAGTTTGTGAGTAAATTGGTCCAGATTACACATCAATAACCTCTAAGACATGTGTAATCTTATAGAAATATTGATCAAAAAGGTAGAAAGTATAAATATTTTTTTTCACGTTTTTGAATTGTTACAGCAGAGATACTTACAAACACTCCTGACAATATAGTGTACTTTTTCTGTTAATGTAATATGTTATTATCTATTTTTTTATGCATGCAGTTCTCTTTAATTGACATACATGTAAAAGAAATACAATCATTAAATTTTATTGTTATTGTTTATTGTGTAAAAACTGTTACTCCAGACTTAAGACTTTTGTAATAATACAAACCAAAGGATATAAATTTTAGTGGACACTTCGAGTACTTTCTGGAATACTATTTATTTCCTTAAATGCAATCAATTCTTACTTAAGCCGTAGTTTGTATTAGTGGAAATTACTAATTGTCAGCAATCAATATCAAAAGGTTGCCAGTGGGTTGGGAAAGGGTAACTTTGACTATGCAACAGTAAAAATATCTGAACAACTAATGGAATATAATGAATTCATTAAAACAGAAAATAATAAACCAATGCACAAACGGCAGTGAGGTTAGAGTTTCTTTGCACTGTACTGAAGGTCTCAACGTGACTTTGAGATGGAGAACAGTAATAAAAGCTCTGCTCCTTTGTTCTTGTTGTTTTGTTTTTTTTTTTTTGCTTTGCATGTATTGATGTTGTGTTATAGATGGATAACCCATATCCTTTCTTTTCTATTGATGAACGTAAACTATTTCAAATAATTTAAAATCTAAAATTGCCTGGTAACAACTTATCGTTTTTGTCGGAAATATACGAACTGGCCTTGGAGGGATGAAAACAAAGTATGAAAGGATCCAGGAGAACCTTCAGCACATCCAGGATCTTATTACTAAGTATTATCCCGACAAAACCCAAAGTTCTCTATTACAAATGTTAGTATTGTTAGCCTACGCAATCTCCTTTCAAGAAAAGTCACGTGTTTAATTGATTAACGGTAAATAACAACAATCATGATCTATTATATTTTAAAAATGTAGAAACTAAACTTAAACCTGCACGCTGTATGCGCCTAGCTGTCTATATCAAGCCAAGGGAACAATCAAAGTCTCTTGTTTGGGATATGATAAAAAGACTCTATTAGTGTCTTACACATTCATAATGAAAATGGGATTGCCAAAACATGTCCAAATTCAAGAGAAATTTGTAATTCAATGATAGTCGTTGTATACGACTGTCATATTTGTGTTCCATTTATTGTTTTGTCATAAATCGGTCCGATGGTTTTTTTGGTTTTACATTTTGTCATGTCGGGACAAGTTATAGCTGATTATACAGTACCGGTTTTGCTCATTATTAACGGTCGTTTGGCAATCTCTAGATGCTTAAATTCACGCCATTTTGGACTCTGGTAGATAGTTGTCTTATTGGAAATCATACCATATGTCCTTATTTTTATATCGTATAGGAGAGGTTTAGGTTATTTTCTAATTATTTTTACCTTTACAAAAAGTTATCAAAATTAGAAATAAAGTCGGCTATGTTTTATCTAAGCTTATAAATATTAAATTGTGTAAAGGAATATACAGTAAATCTATTTTGTTTTATAGCAAGACAAAGTACGGTAACCCCATTTTCTCTCTTTATGTTTTCTAAAAGCATATGGTTAGAGCTATCTTCTAATATCATGTTCTAAAATTTTGTCTTTTAGTTTCTTTCTATTCACAGAAATACTTCTTCCGTTCATAATCCTTTTTACAGTGTATCATTTTTTTCACAATATGTATAGCTTGTAAACAAGCTCGTTTGCCTATAATTGTTATTACATTTTAGTCGAAAGCAAGATATAAAATTGCATTTTGGCAAAGTATCATGTCATTATTTGTTTATTTCTGGTACCACCATCCCAATAGTCAGCACTTCTGTGTTGACATGAATTTTCATTGATACATGTATGGTCATAATTATAAATCAACTGTTTACAAAACTAGAACCTTCGTAAAACAATCATAAACAACTTTTCTGGATATAGCCCGAGTAGACGAAAGATACCAAAGGACATTCAAACTCATCAAACTGAAAATGACATGGCAGAAAAACGGAAAACGATCGTAAGACAAACAACAGTAAACATAGCACAACGTACTAGAAAACAAAACACTTATCAAAATGAACCCCACCAAAAACTGGGGGTGTTCTGGAATGGTGAGCAGATCCTGCTCCACATGTGGCACCCGTCGTGTTGCTCATGTAAGTTCAACCCGGCGATAAGTCTTATTCGGTAGCTCACATTTGAGGAAAAAAAGGACGTGATTACAAGTTGACAATTATGGACGTCCAACTCCTAAGTAGGTTGTAATTGTATATTACAACATTTACTTTATCAGTTGATTATATGAAGATTGAAAATAAAGCATACCAATCCAATAGACATACCCGTAATTAGCACATGACCTCTTGTAACTACAAAATTTTGAAGTACAAACATTACCTTCTACGTCTTGTGCTCTCTGGTGGAAAGTTGTCTCTTTGGCAATCATACCACATCTTCTTATTTTTATACTAGTACGAAATGCAACTCGAAGTTCTACCATTATCGGTCCAAAATTTGGGATCTCAGGTTTAGAACCAAAAAAAACCCCAAAGATTGTTCATAAAACCTAAATACGCATAATGTAATATCTATTTAATTCTTTTCTCAAATCTAGATCCCTAATTCTCAATCTTTAGATGAAATATATATATAATCCTAGAAATGCATGAGTTCATGGATTAAAAATATTTTTAATGACACAGACACATATATAATATGTGACTCTAAAGAGGATGTAAACGAATCATTTAATTGCATTTGTGATTTCAGAATGATTTAAAATATATAAAAAAAATAACTAACATTCAGACTGCTGATAACTCTTATAGTAAAATTTGTAAAAGGAAATATTAATGAAAATTTCATTTTTTACTTGTAGCAAGAAAGTTCGGTTACACAATTTTATATTCATATTTTCTTCTAGCATAGTATATTATAAAACCTATCTTCTCATACTTTATTTCAAAATTTAATCTCATAAATTTTTTTTTAATTCACAAAAAATGTCTTTTCATAAATAATCAATGCAAAAATTGGGCAATTTTGCACGACTTGAAAAATAGCACGGTGACCCATACTTTTTATTATATTATTTTTAAAAGCATGGAAAAATCTACATTTTGGCAAAGTATAAGAAAATTATATATGCGAAAATATTTACATAATAGTTATTGAAAAACTAGTCATTATTGTGATATATGGACTGCCCACAGGACAGTGGTATTGTCTAAGACAGCGATAATGACTGAGTCAATACCACTGTCCTACGGGCAGTCCATGTATCATGATAATGACCAGTTCTTCAATAACTATTATGTTTATTTCATTTAGGAACCATGTTTTTAAAAATTCTCATTAATTCAAATTGTTCAAACCAACTCGAGTTATTGTACGATTTCTATAGGAAAGAGTGAAGACCAGTCATTCATTTAAGTGCAATTTTTCAGTATATGAATACAAAATAAAGTTTTCTATAATTTTATGATTAACGAAAACACATGGTAAACAATTCAACAACTTCGATTGCGTTTTATTAAAGGGACATCACTCTAAACAGAGAAACCATGCCGTTAAAAACCGATGGAATTTTCTACTGAAGAATAAAGAATGTCATGTGGCCCCTTGTTATCCAATAAGAAAAGCTAATTCTTAACCGATATGAAATAAATATTGATGGTCCACCTTAAATGAAATAGCACAGTCTTTAATCAAAAGATAACACGTTACGGCAGTATTTTCGTGTTTCGATATTTGCTTTATTAGGATATTTCCTTTATTTGTCAATTGTAAGGAATATAACTGTATATATAGTTTTGTTATCTATCATACCTAAATTATTACTTGAATTGTCCCGAAAATGAAATATTTGCCACTGCACGTTTAGATTTGAAAATTTGATATTGTGACAAAATGGATAGGAATGTGAAAATTCTGTAAATTTGGTTTTTTACCTTAATATATTAACATTAAATGATGAACAATCTGATTAGTCGAGATTCATTTTCATGTTCAATACACAGGCGTTCAGAGAAATACTTGTTGCACTAACATATATATGCAAAAATTCTTAACTATATATATATCTGCAGTTAATGTACAATCATTCAAAAAGAAAACAAAACATTGAAAAAAAAAATAAAAAGAAGTTAACTTCACAAACTTATTTTTTAAATCTTCAGGCGGTGTTTATGAAGGAACTAAACCCTTAAACTATTATTAAAAACGAAAAAGAAATTTACCTTACAACAATGTATGACATAATGGCGGACAGACGCATCCTTTACATAGGAGAATATGAGAACTTACAAAAGAGCATATTAAAACTTACAAAAGATCATATAGGAACTTACAAAAGATCATAATAGAACTTACAAAAGAGCATAAAAGAACTTACAAAAGATCATATGATAACTTACAAAAGATCAAAATAGAACTTACAAAAGAGCATATGAGAACTTACAAAAAAGCATATTAAAACTTACAAAAGATCATATAAGAACTTATAAAATATCATATGATAACTTACAAAAGATCATATTAGAACTTACAAAAGTGCATATTAGAACTTACAAAAGAGTATAACAGAACTTACACAAAAGCATACAAGAACTTACAAAAGAACATATAAGAACTTACAAAAGAGCATAATAGAACTTACAAAAGAGCATATAAGAACTTACAAAAGAGTATAACAGAACTTACACAAAAGCATACAAGAACTTACAAAAGAGCATATAAGAACTTACAAAAGAGCATAATAGAACTTACAAAAGAGCATATAAGAACTTACAAAAGAGCATATTAAAACTTACAAAAGATCATATAAGAACTTACAAAAGATCATATAATAACTCACAAAAGATCATAATAGAACTTACAAAAGATCATATAATAACTTACAAAAGATCATAATAGAACTTACAAAAGAGCATATAAGAACTTACAAAAGAGCATATAAGAACTTACAAAAGAGCATATAAGAAGTTACAAAAGAGCATATAAGAACTTACAAAAGAGCATTTAAGAACTTACAAAAGAGCATATAAGAAGTTACAAAAGAGCATATAAGAACTTACAAAAGATCATATAATAACTTACAAAAGAGCATATAAGAACTTACAAATGCGAGTACAATTATTGTCTACAATACAAACTAATACATCAGTTACATGGTTTTATCCCAGGTTATGTATTTTACATCACTGCTAGCATTTTATTGTTATTAAAACGAAAACAAATGTAAATAAGGATATGCAATTTTATTAAGAATGCAGTGTTTCTTTGTATACAGTTTTCTAGTTAATCAACACATTAGTAAGTCCTAGAACTATTTGTTTTATGCTGTATACCCAGCAGGTTTTGGACATTTGACACTATATGAATCTAAATCAACGTCTCTTACAAGTCACCTTTATCTGATTTGATCATTCCTCTATGGCTCCTGTCAGAAAAAAAGAGTAACAATATGAAAATCTGTTTTTAAATATTAAAGCCTAAAACGATACAACTAACTAACACTTGAAATAAATTAAAAAACAACAACAAATAAACCAACAAAAACACACTTTTTATGCATTATTCGAATCATGATGAAAATGAGTCGCTTGAATGCTTCCTTTTAACATGAATTCAAACTTTTTGATCTATGTGTAATTTAGGTGTGTTAAATGCTTTTTTTTATACATAAAATTCATTCATAAAAATAAGATTAGAAACATTATAAATTCGACGTATGTTCTATATTTCCAAAACAATGACTATACATGTACGGTATGGGTTTTGCTAGTCTTTGAAGGTTGTACGATAACCGGCAGTTGTTTACATCTTTGTTCGTTGGTCTTTAGGAAAATGTCTCATTAGCAATCATGTCACCTCATTTTATTTTTCAATGTTACACTTTTAGATATAAGACATAATGATTGTTTCAGTATTTGAAGGATAGTCAATTAAATATAGGATGTCAATATTTAGTTTTTGGCTTATTCTTTTAATGTTGCAAAATAAATTTCTGATCGTAGAATTGAATAGTTCAGTCTATATTTGTTGATTTTTTTTTAAACAGTACAGTTTAACTAACAAGACCATCAATATGCATCCGAACATACTATAGGGAGCACGCATGCAGTATAATAATTAAGCATAATTCTCAGTATACATGCAATATAAGAAAACACACACACCAGCATACCAGTCTCGTATTCAATAAGATTCTATAACCTACTAAACAGTTATTCTCACTTTTATTTATGAAAAAAAATTGTTGACTTGTAAAACTATTCTCCTTTTCACACAATTTCAATGTATCTTTACTTAGTTAAACAAATCTTCGTTGAATGGTTTTCAGTTTTATATATAAGCATGACAAAAAGAAAATTAAGTAATTTCCAAACGCTACGAAAAGCCAAAGTAAAGCAAAAATTAAAAAAATAATAATCACTAATCATAATGCGGAACTTTACCCAAGGGAACTGACTTTAAATAAATGTAATATTAAGACCAATAATTGTCCTTTTATAGATTTTGGTATTTCAGTTTCACACGGGAAAATCTACCACATAGACTATTGTTCGTTCCCAATTGTTAATTTACCCATTTTTAAGACGGTGATGTTTCTTTGGTCCTACCCTAAGAGTGACTAGGGAATATAATTTCAATTATAGTCACTTTTGGTCTTCTTCCGGTCGGTAGTAAAGCCCTTGCCAAAGTGGGGCGTCTATTTGGTTGTGCGGGATGTATAATTTATACGCAGCCACGTTCGGTCAGAATAGGGACGTTATATCCGATGTCTGGTGTAGAGAGAGTGCAACTTTTACTACATTATTTCATAGATACAAAGATTTGGTTTTTGAAATTTGTCTGTATCAAACATTCGTTTATTGTTTTGTTTTGTTGGTTTTTTCGTTTAAATTGTTTCTTATTTCGTCATGTCGGGATTTTTAGAGCTGGGGATTCCATATAGGGTTTTGTTCATTGCTGAAGGCCGTATGGTAACCTATAATTATTTAAATCCACGTTATCAAAACTTATTTGGATAGTTGTATCATTGTCAATCATACTACATCTCCTTATTTTATATTAAATAAATATACTTTCCTATTCGTACTAATGTATATTTTTGAAATGAAATAATCTAGTTCCTTACATTTTATATTAAATATATTAAATTTTATATTAAATATATTAAATGTCCAAAGTTCTCTCTGAAATTCACTCTCAAATATATTGCTCTTATTAAAGCTACGTTTTATTTAATTACTTTGTATGAAGTTGCAATTCCACTTTTTTTATAAGATAAACGAAAACGTAAAAAAAGATTTAAATTTCTAAATACTTTAATAAGGTGCAACAGACCAAATCGATATATCAATTTAACCACTCTCATAAAGAAATTCTACGTAGAACGTTTCAAAACTTTGCTTAAGAGGTAAATACTTAAGTTATAAATAACCAGTAATTTAAACCACCCAAAGTGCAGACTAAAAGCTTAAAACTATATGAGGAATATGTGGACAAGACTTCACACAAACTCTAATATTATGATAATGAAAAAGTGCAATTAAGTATATAATACGATTTTGATTAAAATCCTTAACTGCACAAAATGAATTTTAAAGTGCAACCCAAGAAAATGAAATGAAATTAAACCAGTACGCCTGCCACAAAAATTGAGGGTCATACAAAAGTTAAGTTCTTTCACTATAAAAACGCCTAACTCAATACTACGCACTACTTTAATTTAGAATTCACCCTTCAAACTTACATCCTATATGACCCTCCGCATGAAGATATTCATTTAACTTACAGTCTGACATCTTTGAATTCATTTCTTGAAAATTCGTGTACCGGTCCAAGAATATTTTCAGCATATTTAATTTGCCTAGAACATTAAGGAACAAATATATAAAATGGACATAGCGGTTGGTGACAGGCGTACACTTTGTTCACTTCACAAACTTTACCTTAAATGTCAGATTGGCTTCAATAAGAATGTTACTAAGTTTTATTTATGAATTTTTGTTTCCAAAATGAAATAACATTTTCTAAAATAAATTTTAAAATCTTTTTCAAAATCTAATTAATTCGAAATTATATCAAAATAAAGATACATTAGGTCTATAGGCTTTGCTTTTGAGATATAACAATTTGAAAATTATAATTTCTGGATTTTTTTTTCTGGATTGTTCAATGCAGTCTAGGAAGAAATACATGTTTAACTTTTTGAAAAATATATCATACATGCAGTGATAATTAATAATTTAAAACTATTTTCCCAGAGAGATGTTTGGAAATAACGCAAGTTTAAAAAATGTTACGTAGGCAAATATTTGAAATAAAAAGCCTAGGAATCACCAGTCCTCTAAAAATATTAAAATACAGTCATTGATTGATTTATAACATATCATTAAGAGTATTTATATTTTCTTGAATTAATTCTCTAATTTACACAGAAGTTCCAATCGATCCCGAGCAGGTGTATTAAATTGGAGAATAATATAATTAAATAAATATCGGTTGTTTAAATTTTGGACAATTAATATAATACATGTATCGATGTGGTATGCTCTAAAGATAATGTAGAATCGAAAGTTTTAATAATCGAAAACGACAAACAAAATACTTTCGAGTTTGTATACAGACTTGTTTCCAGTTGAGTGAATTTATTCAATTCTATACTACTGATGCAAATCAAAAGTGCAGTGCAAACATATTTCTATAAATTAATTCTGATGTGGTATTTCAATTAATTTGATTCCTGGGGTGGTGTTCTCGAAGCTATCTTAGGATTAGGACGTGTCATAAGACCATCTTATGACACATTTTGTCCTAAGTCGTGTTCTCGAAACTCTCTTATCGCATTTTTCGTCCTAACTTTAGGACACCTAATTAGGTGGACACCTAATTAGGTGTCTTAAGATCATCCTATCTTCATCCTAACTTTAGGAATACATTTACTTCGTGGCTACATTGCTGTGCTTTCTGAATAAAATGCCCTTCTGACTCTCCACTTGATCTAAAAGAATGTTTAATTCCGCCTCCGTAAAGTTTGGATTTCGCTTTTTGCTCATTATTATGTTTCACGTTACGATGACACTACAAATTCAATTTTCATTTTAAAACAAATTGTTTTCCAGTTTAAATTACAATCCTTTTTGATATTATTTTATAATTACATTTGAAATCATGCATTTAATTATATACATGTAATTATAGAATTCGTAAACAATTTTATTTATTGGTTTCGTCATTAATAAATGTTTTATCAAAAATTACTTTAACGATTTTAAATTTCACACATAGGATATGTTTAGGATGTCCTAACAAAAGATGCGTCTGAGATAGCTTCGAGACACAACTTAAGAATGTCCTAAGATGATCCTAAGTCCATCCTAAAATTGGTCTTAGGATGTGTCTTAGGACGAATCTTAGGATACTTTCGAGAACACCACTCGTGAAGTATCCGTACCTTCTATACATCACGGGGGTAATATAATTTTTTCTTAGTAAAAATCATTATAGATATATTCTACCAAAATGTAATGATTATATTGAGCTGTTTCCGAAGTTTGTCGAGGAAATCCGGAATCTACCGAAGTCATTTCAAAAGTTTTTTTATTTACACCATTACGTCTTAATATTATCGATCAGGTGTAGATTATGGTGACGATGGTGCGGATAACATAAAAAGGAATATTTCTTGCATTTCGTGAATTAATATAAATTTTTCGTCGCAGACTGAGAATTAATGTATAGAAATATAATTAAATTGATTATTTTATGTACCGTTGGTGAGCTATGTAATGATGGTGCTTGTGAGCAGGTAATTTCACTGGAAAGGGACGAGGTTGCTCGACCGTAGGTTCTGATCCATTATATCTGGGGGACCGATTCTTCGGTACAAACCTATCCACAAGTTGCTTTTTCAGCATTTCTTTCTCGTGTTTTTCCCTGTCCAGCTCATTCGCCATCCTGCTCAGTTTGTTAGACGCAGCATCCATTCTAGTTTCGAATATTTTTGATTTAGTAGTATCAGATATTTCACTGCTAGCTTTCAAATCCTTTAATGCAATCTCTGGGCTTGAAAACATTCTAATACATTGATCCAGTAGGACTTTAGAGTTTCCTTGATCCGCTGCTTTGATGCACTTCAGTAATATTTCTGGTGTATTATCTCTTCTGTTCTTGTGTGTTGGTGGTCCTTTTGATGCTCTGTTGACCATCGGTGTTTTCTTCAAAACATTTACAAGTAACCGTTCACAACGATCCTTTAGAGCTGCCATTTGAAATTCATCCGCTAATGGAAGCAATCGAAGCGCCATTTTGTCTGCAAAAAAAAAAATTAAAAGCGATTAAAATTGATTTAACATTTTCATGAGTGTATTTATGTATTATTTCACTTTATGCCTTCATTTGTCGTTCAAGTTAAACAAATTATTCAAATTTCAATCAAATGAGTCTATTAAAATAATTATAACTAGAGTATAACTGGAATTGTAAATCAATAATAAAAAAAATTACTTACCATTCAATTCACGACATACCCCCGGATGAAAGAATGCGAACATGTCCACAAAATCAGCATAATTCTTATCGGCAATTTTAAGCTCTGCTTTTGCTTTTTTTTCCGATAGTGCTGCGCTGTGGGCAGAATTTAACAATTTAGTGAAGTATGGAGAGGCATATCCTAGTAACGATCTATGTGTATAAAGTTTTCGTCCTTCTATCACAAGTATTGTATCCGTGTAAGAATCCTCCTTCAAAAATGGAAGGTTGTGTTGATCTCTTGACGTTTCTAAAGTGGAAGAACTCTTACTATGACTAGAACTTCTGGAATCTGTTACTGGTAGTATACCTGCCATTTCTGAAACATTAACAGCATGGGTCCTTAAGTCCCGATCACTACGAAAAAAGATCTCAATGTTTTGTAAATGTTTTGTTAAATTTGTGGGTTAATACGGGAAAATAGATATCTATACATACATGTCAGTTGTAATATAATCTGTTATATAAGTGTTGAAACCTTACATTTATAATTTTGAGTGAAAATTTTGGAAAAAAAATATTTAAAAAATCTGTTTAATGTCATACTCTGATTTTCGACGCATACAATTTTCAAAATATTCTGTAATTGTAGTTTATATTCAAGTTATAAAAAGTAACCTGTAAGTTCCTTACATGACCACTTGATGGATCAATGACTATGTATTACTTTCATAGAGGATAGAATTTCTCTTTTATAAAAAAAAATCTCTAGTTTGTTCTTTTAAAAGACAAAGAAAGTGATTCATTACATTAAAAACAAAAGAAAAGATTTTACATTAGATAGTGTTATTATATGTTGTTAGTTTATATTTATTCTATATTATGACTTTTTCAATCAACGTTAACTTTACAAATAGTTTAAGTAAACTATCAACAAATACAATACATTCGATCAAGTCGCCGAATGGAATTTATTTAAATTTTAAAATGTAAACATGATGAAATGTTTCATAACAAAATATATGTCCATTAGAGAGCTCGAGTAACTATACAAAATTTAAATCTATGTAGTAGCATATCCAGAATTAAGTGATCTACATGTTTATTCGGAATGTGATTGATTGATTTATTGATTGATTGTTGGTGTTTTACGCCAATTTCAGCTCTCATGGCTATATTGGATCGGCCAGTTTTTAACTGGTGGATCGGAGGAAGAAAGTGTGCCAGGAGAGAAGCACCGACCTTCAGCATGAAGTCTGGCAATTTCTCAGTAAGATAGGAGTCACATGCAGGGTTCTAACTAACAACCTCCGTGTTAACATACTAATGATCAGTGTAAATGAACTACTTAGATCACTCGGCCAACGAGGCGCCTCAGAATTTGAAGTATGTGATTATCAACTCAAAATAGCCACTGACAACCATTTGATTTTTAACAATTTGAGAGAGTGCGAGAGAGTTTTTTTTATCATTCCATGGCTATGTTGCTTTGTTAACGTCTTAATCCTGCCTATCCCTCCATAATCAAATGATTGTTGATGATAAGCACCACTTGCAGCACTCTTGACTATCTCATGGTTTCCAGTTTTATTTGTGAAATAAACAGGAGTACCAGGAGAGAACCACCGACCTTCGACAGGAATACTTTTTTTTACATTACCTTTATTCATATAGATAAAGATGTATGATGTACATACATTGTATTGACATGATTTAAGAAATTGCAAATAGAACAAAAACATACTTTTAGTTAAAAAATCCATACCAACGATGCAAATAAACTACAAAACAGTAGCCAATTCGAACTCAATAAATATAAAAAGCGGTAAAGTTATAACACTATTAGTACTCCAAAAAGTTGAAAATTTTCGAAAATATGATTCAATTTGAACAATAAAATACTCCAATTCGACAGCTAGTGTGTAAAAACTCTTTTTAGATACAATATAAGATTAAATATAAAAATGAGGAGATGTGGTATGATTGCCAATGAGACAACTATCCATTAGAATTAATACGAAATGGTAGTAAGAAATAATTGGCCTTTAACTATGAGTAAACCCCATACCGTATAGTCGCCTATAAAAGGCTCCGACAAAAATGTGAAACAATCCAAACGAGAACACAAACAGCCTAATGTATTCCAAACAATTTCAGAAAAACAAATATGACAGAGGCTTAAATGTATACGTAATCAATCCATGGAAATAAGCTGAATTGATGTCTGACGAAAATCCCAGGATTACTTGTATATGGTTTTCTCTATTATAAATAGATATAAAAAGATGTGGTATGAGTGCCAATGAGACAACTCTAAATCCAAGTAAAAATTTATAAAAGTAAACCATTATAGGTCAAAGTACGGTCTTCAACACGGAGCCTTAGCTCACACCGAACAGCAAGCTATAAAGGGCCCCAAAATTACTAGTGTAAAACCATTATAGGTCAAAGTACGGTCTTCAACACGGAGCCTTAGCTCACACCGAACAGCAAGCTATAAAGGGCCCCAAAATTACTAGTGTAAAACCATTCAAACGGGAAAACCAACGGTCTAATCTATATAAAAAACGAGAAACGAGAAACACTTATGTACCACATCAACAAACGACAACTACAGAACATCAGATTCCTGACTTATGACAGGTGCAAACAATTGCAGCGGGTTAAAACTTTTTAATGGTACCAAACCTTCACCCTTATCTGAAGCAATAGTGTAACATCACAACAAAGAAAGACACACTATAAAATATCAATTGAAATGGCTTAACTCAATCAAAAGACATATTAACACCAGTGAACATACACTGAACAAATAAATTTGATCTGTGATACAATGTAAATACAAAATAAATAAACTATAAGGGAAATATAAGCCAAAAATAAATGTATCGACAGGCAGTAGGATAGTTAGGAGTTAACCTCTTTATAGATCAAAATGAACGTGGGTGTGTCTTAATACATCCCGTTTGAAAAGAATACAAATTTAGTAATGTTTTAATTTGCTGATGACAAAATCGATATTAGTGCCAATGTAAACTATATTCAAAGATCTAATTTCAACATTGGTAAGATAACCTTTACTAATAAGTTTGTTTAAAGGTTCGATGAGTTTACACGGATCACATAGTGATTTCCGCGCTTCAAGTATAATTTTACCGTAAAATTTAGGATGTGAAATACCGTTTTTAATCAGATTTCTACAGGTACAGCCAAATTTTCTAATCAAATCTTTGTATCTATGAAAGAATTTAGTAAAAGTTTTACGTAATTTATGGTAACGAAATCCCTGACTTAGTAATTTACCAGTGATGCATTGATTACGTTCGTTAAAATCTATGACATCACTACACACACGGGCATAACGAACGAGTTGGGATATATAAACACCTTATGATGGAGCCAAAGGAACATCGCCGTCTAAAAAAGGAAAATTAACAATAGGGAAAGAAAAGTTGTCTCTTTTGTCATAAATTTTAGTATGGAATTATCCTTTAGAGATTGAAATGTCCAAATCTAGAAAAGGACAACTACTGATGTTTATGTTAGATTTAGACCCATGAAATTGCGGCGGAGTTGTGAAAGGCGGTGTTTTTAGTGGATCAAGATATTATTTTGAAAAAAAACAGGTAAAGCTATTGCAGTGATCAAACTTACTTGATTGATTAATTGATTGTTGGTTGCTTAACGTCAAGTTGCAAATATTTCACGCATGTTCAGGACGACAACAAATTAACAATAAATACCATGATAGGTAGGTAATGTAATAGAGGTCGTCCGGGATCAAGGTCGTGGAAATTTGGACTGTCACTTAAAATAAGGGTATTTAGGATAGGGACAGAAATTTTACCTTACAACAGGTCACCTACGGACCCTTCAAAGAGTTATTGTAAGGGTTGGCACTCTCTTCTCGCGAAGCATCGGATTTTACGTCCCCATTCAGACCGGGCGTGGCTGCGTACTTCTACATCCCGCACAGCCAAACGGACGCCCCACTTTGGCAAGGGTTTTACTGCCGGTCGGAAGAAGACATAAAAGACCACATTTCTATTCTCCAGTCACCTTTGAGGGATTATGCTGGATATCAAAGGTTAAAATTTAAAGTTTACTTTTTTTGATTTGAAAAAGAGGACAAACACCATTAATTATCCACTTTGCTCCAGACCCATTCTGTTCCATCGCCGTCCACTTATAATTCACAATCCTCTTCGGTTTATACTACAAATTCTGTTCACTTCTTCCGACCGAGAATTCATCGTAAATTGTACATGATTGATTGATTGTTGGTTGCTTAACGTCCAGTGGCAAATATTTTATGCATATTCAGGACGAGAACAAATTAACAATAAATACAATAGGTAGGTACTGTAATAGAGGCGTCTGGGGTTGAGGTCGGAGAAATTTAGACTGCCACGGGAAATGAGGGTATATTGGATAGGGACAGAAATTTTGCCTTGTAACAGGTCACCTACGGACCCCTCAAAGAGTTGTTGCAAGGGTTTTTAACGTGCAAAGAGCGTGGCACTCTCTTTACACGAGGCATCGGATTTAACGTCCCCATTCTGACCGGACGTGGCTGCAAATTTGTACATCCCGCACAGCCAAACGGACGCCCCACTTTGACGAGGGTTTTACCGCCGGTCGAAGGAAGACCAATGGTGACCATACTTCTATTCCCCAGTCACCCTTGGGGTGTGTAAATTTTACAGATTTGCTAAGAGCTCACAAAGAATGATATTTAGATATTTCATTTTGCTTTTTTTTAAGACGTTACGCACGGAACTGGTCACACTCAAGAAAAAATACCGTGTCATAAGCAACAATTGGTCACTATATTGTCGTTGCTACTGGAAAACATATAAATTTTACATCAAAATAAAGCTGAATGTCTTGGGAATTTATTTTAAGTCTTGAATGACATTTTAATACAAGTGTATGTGAATAAACCGAACACGATTTTAAAAAATAACGTCATTTTTCTCCTGTCCCGCGTTACAAATAGATGCCGATATTTGGGCAAAATGTGCTGAAGATTGGTGATTTTTTCACCAAAAGTCACTATGTTCGGGCAGCGCATCGTTCAACGTCATAGCATTGTGACGTCAAAAAATTTGAACACAACCAGTACTAGAAGCGAAGCAATGGGCCCCTGAATGAGATATTAAAAAGTGTCCCACAAGCAGGGAAATATTTAAGCCGAACTTACGGACTTGATTTTTATGAACAGAATACTGGTAAGTTAATCAATATTGGTATCATTATTTTGTACAAAGACTCGCCTTTTAAATCATTTATTTTTTTTCTTTGTTGTTACGTCGGTTTACACAGGTCGGAATTTTTCTCATGTCCAAGAATTTGTCACAAGTACAGTTTTCACACATTTTCCGGCACTAATCCGTCGAATGAGATTAAATTAATTTGTTTTATTGAATATTTCCTTAATTCTATTTACCGCTTT